AGTTTGATTTCATATTTTTCTAAAATTATTTATATATATACGTAAATTAAAACGTCCTTCCGAAGCGGGCGACGGGATTTCGATTCCGGCGACCGACAGCTTCTTACGGGAGACCCCCCAAACTTTCTTCAAACCTTCTTTTTAAGTGCCGACAGCATGTTGTCCTCAAGTTGGAAGGATGAAAACTGCTTATTAATATCCTTGTAATGCTCACATATTGCTTCATAATCTAGTAGATCTTTCCACTTATCAGTACCTCCTTTTCTCCTGCCACTTCTCTTCACACTCATTCGACTGCTAAATGTTCTAGAATCACATTCATGTCCTCTTTCAACATCAGAGGTAGTGAAGATGTTGGTGTATGATTCCAGATAGCTCGTCTCAGCTGCAAAACATGAAAGACTGGATGTAGTGCTGATGATGGTGGCCACTTCAAACAGCATGCCACTATCTCAACAAGTGTTGTAACCTCTAGGGTCCAAAATATCATGAAGAAAGTTTCTCGCTCCTCCGCCTTGCCAATGTTTTCTGCCGGTAGAGCCTCAGCTTCAAGTAAATCGTGCATCCTGGTTCGATTTATATCTCTGTCCTATGTCCGTTCGCCTTCCTTTTCATGAGTTATTGAGCTCTCAGTAGGTGCCACTCGAGCTTTGCCAACATTCTACACCTCTCCTCCAAGCACAGATCAACACTAGATACAGATTTAGTTCTATGTCTATAATATATCAGGTGAGGTATATCCCACCAATACAGAACCTTGAAAGGGGTGATATGTGCTGCAGTATGGTATGAAGTTTTATACCAATATTCAACACATGCAATCTATCTGACTCAAAGTTTCAGTGTATCCGATACAAAACAACACAAATATGTATCTAAACTCTTGCTGATCACTTTTGTTTGACCATCGGTCTGGGGATAATATGCTGAAAGTAGTATTTATGTTCAAAGAAAATTACATTCGGAGAGATACGCCATTGATTATTAATCAAATCATAACACACAAAACCTTTATAATTAGGACTGTAACTCATAAAGACACATCGATTAGACTGCGTTGCCAACTTATGACGTTCATGGATAGGTAAATGAACGAAACAAATACATCCAAAAATAAGGAATTTAATCCAACAATTCAAGGAAGGAAACTCTTAAATCTGCCCAATTTCATTTATTCTTGATTGATAATGATAGAATTAAAGTAAACAACCCATACGACCATCCTTCAAGCACGTTTCTTGCACTTTGAATGTTCTTTCCTTTGCTTATATGAGAAGAATATGATGTTGCGACAAATTTGTACGAACATTTACACTCTCCATCGAAGTTTATCTCTGATTATTATTGATATTTTGCATATAAACAGAATTCTTTGATAATATATGTTGCAACCCCACAGAAGTCATATGGATATGGTAATATTTGCTTACATGCAATATTGGAGTTTTCATGTGAGTGTGTACTTGAGCTTTTTTCAATTTGTTCAGATGACAGTCTTCTTTACCAGTAAAGGACATGTGCACATTAGGTGTCCATTGATATTCACGAGTACATACATTTTGGATTGTCATTTTTCATCATTGATGTTCTCATGTTGAAACACTGAGGTTACTTTGAATTATTTAAGTAATAATTCATAATGGCACTTATTTAAGTAATAACTCATAATGGCCAGTATATGCCTTTGAGATAAATGAAATTTCTTTTGCTGTCTTGCTTGAACGTAGCTATTGCTTCAGTTCACTATTGGGCGTCATGTTCTGATTAGCGACTTTGGCTTAGATTTCTTGATGTGATGATTGCAAGTTGATTATTACATCCTTAAGTTTGTGCAATTATCATTTTGAATTGCAGGCAGCTATTCTCTGTATCTGATGGTGGGACAATTGCTTTGGATTGGCTGCTTGCTTCTGATGGTACATTCTAAGTTTGAAACTGTATATTATTATGCTATGTTCTCTAGTGTTCGTGGTGTTGGCCTCGTGGGCATCAATTGACCAGTACATTGCTTAACTTTGCATTTATGGAATTTTTCCCTTCAGAAGGGGGCTTTTCTTACTCCATGTTTACTGATATTTGTATTTACATTTGTTAAGGTTAATCAGCAGTTAGAAACTTGACCAACATAAAATTCAGCTTCTTTGTTTGATAATTTTTGAGTTCATTTGGAGTTTTCTTATTCATTTAGCTGGCCATTATGCATTATGTTCTTGATCAGGGTATGGAGTGGAATTATGTAATATTGTAGTAAATAGGAAGAAAACACTGGAATAAAAATCAACTTAGAAATCCCGAAGTAGTTGATGCCAAATACTTGGACAGCAGGTTCCAAATCTTCAGGGAAAGAAAGCTGTGAAAGCCAAAACAAGGGCTGCAAGAATTCTTCCCTGAGTTTTTTATAATTTTACAAACCAAATCCGTTAACAAAATTCTTACATAATTTTCTTTATCTATAAAATCCTAATTAAAGGTAAAGCTATTATCGTTTCATTACATTAAAGCTTGACGGTGGTTATCCCACTCAACCTTATATTTATTTATTAATTTGGTTCAACATAAGAGATTTTGTGATCCTGAAGTTCTTGTTCAATTGTCAAAGCTTTCTAATCGGTTTGAGAGTTTTGCCCTTAAAGGACTTGAACCTGATCACTGAAGTTAATGTACATGCGATCTCTTCGTTATGATTTACTTATTCAAATACCCATCATTCGGTAAGTGGCATCTTCATTTATAGATGTTGATTTTGTAGGAATTAGACTAGATTTGGGTTCATGTAATCTAGGGATGTGCTGATTGTGCTATGTTAAGTTTGTAGAATGAAAGCTGAAAGTTTGAATTTTCTTTGATATTGAGGCATATCTACTATTTCTATACAATTTAATATCTTTAAGCCTTAAATGATGGTTTGCATTGGAGGATACATTATTAGGTCATCTATAGATTATCTCATATGGAGCTGGTCAGGTGGATGCCTACAAATTTCAGCGCAATGTGTATGACCCCCAACAATTGGGAGCTTTCAGAACATATAAATATAGCTCCAAGGTCTTATTTTTCGCTTTCATGGGCTCAAATATAAGTTCTTTATCTGTTGTGGGGAGAGGGAAAAGGGAGTCTTGCTCATCCTTGCCTGTTCTAACTTACACTGATTATGATTTCATGTTCTTCATAGATTACAATGTGTTCTTGAAAGTTTGCATGATTTTATGTGTTATTTTTATTGCATTTTTCTTTTGTTATTGACATGCCTAAAATGTGCTTCTTTTATACATACATTTTATGCTCATTTTAATTGATATTGCACTTTAATGGATCTGGCGCCTACATGCCAGACAGTTATATTAGGCTTCTAGAAGGTTGGCTCCTAGGTACCACAGTTGGGTGTCTAGGTGCCAGAATCAGTTCTTGCCAATATGCAATGTATTTGGACGAATTTTGAAAGGGCATTTGAAATGACTCGTGAAGATTTGGAGAACTATATTAAAAGAGAGTTTTGCAAGGAAAAAAGTTAGTTCTTGTTGTGGGTGATGGGAGTCTTTTGGTGTGTGTGTGTGAGTCTATTGGTGTGAGTGTGTGTAAGAAGAGTTTGGAGAATACTTCAAAGGAACTTCAAGATTTGCTTGGGGAGGAGTCTGAGATAAATACTTTATATTTTTGTTTGAGTTCTGTTTTATCGTGTAAATTTGAATTTTAATATAAATCATGTTTTGTTGTGTTAATCCCATGAAGTCTGAGTAGTTTTCTTTATCTTTGTGCTTGCTTTAAAAAATAATCATGTGTAGGATTAGAAATGTTTAAGATTTATCTTATTCTATATTTGTGATGGTTCATTACTTCGTACTTAATTTACATATTCAATCTGACCAATTTGTATGCTAAAACTTGTTGTGAATCCATAATGACACGAGAGGATTATGTATTCCTTAACCGGAGAGAATCACATTAATCTAGTGAGTGATAAGGTAGTCCATAGATTAGTGTAAATGGATAAAGAGATGAGTTTTGATGGGTGTAAATTGGTGATTCTAGGATGACAGACTAGAACCTTAACCAAATTGATATAGAGTTCGAAAATTAAGGCTAGATTAGTCCTAAATAGAGGATACAGTGAGTAATCCAGACGTCAACCAGTATATACAATAGAACTCTGATCTATTGGTATCAGTTTGTCTGTATGCTAGTACGTTAGCATGTTTGTTTTTCTATATGCGCTTATCTGATTATGTAGGATTGATGTTTGTTGGTTTGTATCGAAATGATGTTTATGCTAGTGTGTTTATGTTAAGTTTGTGAGTTTGATATGTGGTGTTAGTGCGCTTGAATTGTTGGATTGGTTCGTATTTAGGGATCGGGTACTTAAGCAAATGAAAGTTGAAAGAAGTTTTGAAGATAATAAACTAATCAAAATGTTGTTGAATCGAACAAATTAGGGTCCGGAAACCTTTGGTGTGAGGTGCTCATATGTAAAAAGTTAAAAAATCAAAAATTAAAAACATCAAGCACTGTCGCCTAGGCGCCAAAACTTGGAGCCTAAGCGTCAGTTACTCGAGAGCGGGGCGCCTAGCGCCAAATTTGGCGCCTAGGCGCCGAACTGGCTGAACCACCGGTTTAACTCATTAAATTGCGAATTGACCCGGTTCAACTTCATTTTTTCCTTAGAACTCCTTCCTTCGAACGTACACCAGCACTTCCATAAGGCTTTTCCTACCTTGCGATTCTTCTCTAATCAAAGCTTCAAAACTTCAGATTTCTTCTTCTCCCGGTAAGATTTGCACTTTCACCATGTGATTTTCTTCTTTAGCCATGAATTTCATGCACATTTGGAAATTTCAAAATTTTTGGAAAACCTTGGAATGAGGAGATGAAAATCCTTGGAAAAGATTTATTTTTGCAATATATTTGCTTGTAGGTGCGTTTATAATTTGTATTTAAAATTTATATAGATTTTTGTTAGATTTGATATGACTCCTAAGACTAAGAGAGGAATGGGGAAGGAAGGATTTGATCACAAGAGATTTGTTAGTCTTAAAACCCATGATCGATACAACGATCTGCATGTGCCAAAAAAGTTGATTGCATAAAGAAACTTCTGTAGGCCTACAGGTTTTGTGGAGAATTTGATTATAGCACGGAGCTGGGAGAGAATCTGCTACTTTACTGCTGTAGTAGTCATATCAGTCGTTTGTGAATTCTATGTAAATCTTCGAGAGGAATCATACGATTTGGTAAAGAAGAGGAGTAGATTTCAATCATGTTCGGATCAATGCTTTATACCAGTTGCCTGACGTGCCTGATTGTTATTACTCATCATTTGAGTCTACCAAGGAGCAGCTGGATGAGATTATTACATTTCTGACTGATGGGCGTGGAGCTTGAAAAATTAAGAATGACTACGAGGTAAATTTTTCTTTTTCCATGCTTAATGCCCAATTTAAGGTCTGACACTTTCATTTCTGCTCGACTTCTTCCTACAAACCATTTGAGTGAACTGACCAGGGAGAGAGCCACTTTAAACTTTTACATTCAGAAGATTCAGAAGATGAAACCTATAGATATTGTCTCTCTCACTCGCAAGAATATTATCAGTTTTTTTACGAAGCTTCTACTGCAAGTTTGGGTTATCCTTCTCATCTTTACTATATGTAAACAATCCAGAGTTAGTTTTGAAGCTTGGGAGGAGATATTGCAACTACTGAAGCCTATTGGTAAGGCTAATGTGGATTAATATGGAAAGCATGCTACACTTGGTTCTAGAGGCCGATCTTTAGATATTCCTTCTACCTCTACTTCTAGACATTCTACCTCTAGTGCTGCTGCTCCACCTCCTGCTATTTGGGAAGAACTTCGTGATCGCTATTACGAGCATCAGGGTGATATTTCTTTTATGCATAGTCAACTGCAAGAGAATGAAGATCACCGAGAACATTTTGAACAATATTTGGAAAGAAAAAGTGATTATGAGGCTAGTTTGAGAGGAGATCAGAGTGTGGAGTTTCCTTTGTATCATTTATATATTATGTTTGAAAGCCGAAAGGCTATGGATGAAGAATATAATGATGAAAATGATGATGATGATGATGATGATGATGATGAGTAGTTATTCTAAGTTTTGATGTGTTTACTTTCCCTAGTTGTTGCTGACTTTTAGTTATTTTATTGTGTTGGACATTGCTTTATTTATGCTTACTGCTGATATGGATTCTGGCTTTTTAGTTGTTATTGCACTACTGTTTACTTTTCTCTCCAGATCATGTATAGTATTGCTGCATGTGTAGAGTAGTTCTTTTACTTTGAAATTTTCATGCTATACATGTTGACTTGAGATTTACTACTGCTAAGCACCTGTTTTTTACTTTTTGTGCCTATGCAATTTTCATGTTTAGAACTCTGTGATATATAATAATTATGTTAATTTTTTCTCTTCATAGTTATTTTGTACTAAAATGTTTAAAAATTATTTAAAAATTCAAGTTTGGTGGGGGGAGAAAAACTTTTATAAATTAAGTTTTATTTGTCCTCGATAGACTTTATCTGAAAATTATTTTGAAATAACCAATGATATGTGGTGTTATTTTTAGAGAACTAAATTTTTTATTATATAAATGTTATAGTGACTTAAATAAAAATTTTTTGATGATAAGGGGTAGTTCTAGAGTTAAGATATTTGATATAAGAGAATAGAAATATGCTTTTACTATTCATAGTAGAGAAAATTGTATTTTTGAAACACTAAATATCTTAAGATTCACACTTCAAAATGAATTGAGACTCTATGAAAAATCATTTTTGTACTAATACACATTATTAAGTAAAGAAATGTAAAAAATTTTTAACTTTAGGAGGAGGATAGTGAAGTTTAAAATCATCAAAGACTATCCATAGATAATATTCATCACATAAAAAAAGAGTAAGGATT